AAGTAAGTGTAGGGGCTCAGATTAAGATTTATATTATTTTAGAAGCCATCTATAACTGATTTTAATATTTCCATGCTTTGAATTAGGGTGTATCTGCCTAGCGGGTGAACCTCCATAACGTGGGCTGTGATTTTAGTTACAGTAGCGGGTGGGGAACCTGAGCTAGGGGGTATTTAAACGTGTCCGGATAAGGGGGAGCATACCCAATAGTTGTTGTGCAGTTCTATCCTGTATTATTATTTGAAACCCTGTATTACTTATAAGTAGCGTTTTGTAACTTATTTGTAATTGTTTATATATATTGCTCTGGGAAAGGGATAGGCAAAATCTCTGAGAGACCAGGAAATATATTTTAAAAAAAGGGCGTATTACACTAGTGGTAGGGTGGCCTATCATGACCATAGAGACCCTTGGTGACTAGTTTTTGTTGTATATTGCCCTGGGAAGGGGATACGCTATTTAATAGAAATTCCTGAGAGACCAGGAAATATACAATAAGTGATACGTGAGTGTACTGGTTAAATTGCAGACATATTGGCCCAGAACCTTTAATCGAGCCGGAAAAGAGGCTGCTGTATGTTTGCTCCTCTATAATTTTGCGGGGGCGGTCACCCCCATGCGGAAAGCCACTGCCATCACAGGGTGGTTAGTTGTGCAGGCCCTTAGCCGCGAGGTGCAAGCATGTCCGTGGAAAGGCTAGAAATTAATAGGGAGTCACTCATAGCTGTCAGAAGTGTTGAACTTTGAGACATATTGACCTATATCCTTTCAGAGGCGGAAGAGGTGTTGTGGTTCACTCCTCTATAATTTAACCAAAGGGTGGAGAGTTATTAAACATGTTTAGGTTGGCTAGAAATGTGTTTCCTGAATTGCAGAGAAGATGCAGAAAGCAGCTATTAGCTGATTGTTTATTTTAAGAGCCAAGTAGAAAATTAAGAAAGTTACCTTGTTGAACAAATTGTTTATAAAATGAAAAGTTTAGGGAATGTATTTATATGTGTATATATGTATATATGCTAAGTAAAGGATTTGGCAGTATACGCTATAAGTGACAAGGAAAAGTAATCCTGATCTGTTTTCTTACCTTTTTCAGATGTAGCAGAAACCAGGGGTGGACATTGGAACACAGATAGAATATCAGATGGAGACCAGTGTTTAAATGTTGACCTTTGATGAGCTATTGAATGTTTTATTTTATTGTCTATTTAACATGTCTATGCTATGATTTTGTGCATACTGTTCTCTTATTTCTAGTGATTGTATTGCAATTGAAACCCTTATGTATTATTATTGTTGTATGTATGCTTGCCTGGGAAAGAGGGGAATTGACCCATAGGGACCAGGGGGTATTTTTGTGTAAACCAAACTGGGGTGGGAGGGCTCTAACGAGGGAACCCCATTGTCCAGTAGGTGCTTGATTTGTGTCTGTGTAAAGTGCATGAGTGGTTGCAGTTCAAAAAACAAAACAAACAAAAATAAGAGGGATAAGAGAAAGTAGGCATTTTGGGTTATCTATACATGTTTAAATAGAAGGGTGGTAAATAGGAATGTAATTGTTTTGGTTAATGTTTAGATTAAATTGGTTAAATACAGCAGTGATAACGAGTGTTTAGATTAAATTGGTAAATGCAGCAGTAATAACGAGTGTTTGGGTTAAATTGGTAGATACAGCAGTGATATTGTGTTTATCTGTGAATCAGGAGTGTGCTGGATGTGAAGAGAGGTGTGTAGGTATTTATCCAAACGCCATAGGAAAAAATATGGTTAAGGCACCACAATCAAATGGTACTTGTGATGATTGGCACAGTTATTATTTATGTTTGTGTTCGTCATTGCCTGTGTTTTCATTCAAGAACTTTCAAGCAAGGATATTTTAAGCAGAAGAAGAAGAAGCACTGGACACTATGCTTAACTGTTGCTGTAAGGAGAAAAAATATTGCAGCTAAGAGTGGTGAGAGTCGGAACAAATGCATCAGGAGCAGGACACTTACGTCAAGGTGGTTAATGGTATAAAGAAAGAAGAAACAAAACAATGTGACCACAAACACACAAAAGTCCTTGATCATGAACTGTTTCATTCATCCCTGTCTCCATGCGTATGTTCTATGAGACTGTCGAAGAACAGAGTATCCAGTTACCAGGACTAATGTTTGTGAAAATTCCAGGCACACAGACCAGCCAGAGGCTACAGAAATCGAGTCGGTCTGTGCCATGATTCATAGGTGTTATGAGTTTGGTGTCTAATACTATATTAAGCTCCAAAACACATCCTCACATGAACACAATATCATTGGTTAATCTAATAAAACATGGTTTGAGTTGTCTATTATTACAAGGGTGGGTATTTGCCTATTTAAGGCCAAGGTCTTCAAAAGGTGGGTTTTGTTGTAGGGCAGGTACTGTTAAAATAGGGTAGATTCAAGATGTACGGGTTTATAATGTTTGTTTTATGACATAAGTCAAAGGGTGGTTTGTAATGGTATTTATTAATTAATGACTTTTTGTCATAAAAAAGCATAATGAGCTTAATGCTTTAGAGGCACCACTAGGGGTCAGTGTGCTAACTCATGTGCTTCTGGCAGTGACATCACAGGCCAGCCTACTTACTGGATAAAACCAAATCGTGGAAGGATTTTGAGCCTCCTTTTTCCTTTGCTTGCATTGATTGAACATGTAGCTGTGTGTATAGCTCCAGCCAAACAGGCTGGAGCCGTGTAAGTAATCTATTATAACAGCTAGCAACTGTTATAGCCTTTTGTAAGTAATGTTGTAGTTTTGTATTGTGTAATTATTGTGGTAAGTTGACATTCTGCTAGCATTTGTTTAATTGTTATTATAATTATATTAAATATACATTTAATACTACAATTTTTTGTGTATTTCCTATTATATATTCGACCATAATACCGAACTCTATTAATGTTGTTATTTGTTGCTTAATTAATATATATTAATTATTAAATTAATATTCATATTTAAGTCACGACTATAACAGACCTGCAGGTCACCTTTTGTGGTGGAAGCTGAGTCGTCCGAGGGGTCGGCTGGTGTTGTGTGCAGGGAGTCCTGCAATGCTTCTGGTTCCCCGCGACACTGTGTGGGGGCTTGGTGGGTACAGGTGAGTTAGCCTGAGGTGCTGGTTTGTGTTGTGCTGTGCCGGCCTCTGTCACATAGCCCCTATATCTCTGCTATCGGCCGTGATATTGGGCTTTTGTGATCGGTGCCCTATCGCTGGCATGTGTTCCTGGGTTGGCATTGGTGTGAGAGGTGAGGTAGCCAGGTCTCCCTCCACAGTCGATCTGCCGAGAAATTATTTGAGGACCCGAAGTCTCGTGGGAGGTAGGTCGCAGATTTGTGTCACTGCTTTGGCTATTTTGGGGTGGCAATGAAAGGTGCAGCCAGTGTTGTATAGTCAGGCTAGATGGGTTTTGGAGCTGGTTCAGGTTTGGTTTTGTTAAGATGTGAATTTCTTTGAGGAGCTGTGAGTAATGGCGTCTGTTCAGGTTTGTTGGCCAGCTCCGACCCCAAGGTGATTTTTTAAATGTGTCGAACAAAGATTATTTTTGTTATTTCAATCTGCTAATGCTTTCTTTGTGAATGTTTCTATTATGAGAAAGTTTATATATATTTAGGTATTTTTCCCAACATTCCTAGGGATAGGACACTGATTGGTTGGTTAGATCAGTGTAACCCCTGGAGTGGGTGTGGAAAGCATATGAAAGAAGAAGCAAGTAAATATAAGAAAGAAAAAAAAGAAGAAGAAAAAAACACTTTCACCTGCTTTTTTCAGCCTGCAGAGAAGACTGTCTCATTCAAGTTAAACCTTTTGAAAGAAAAAGGTACAGTACTCACTCCCAAATAATCAGTTGGCCATAAATTAACAATTCTTTCAATCTTTGCTACATGAATCAATACTACACCATGCTGAAATAGCTCTGACATTCTATCTGCTGTAAAACATTCCATTCAATTCACCAATTTGGGGGCATTACTGTGCACTCTGGTTTTTCAATTAACTTGAAAAAGCTCTCTGGGTCATTCTGTAGAATTGGTATTTCTCTTGTTCCATCTCAAAATGAGGAGCTAGGTAGAACCAATAGGATATGAGCATATAAGTACAGGTACTTAAATGCTCTTGAAGGAGAGTTTGATGTTATTTTACTTGCATGTTCTTTTGTGTTTAACCCATTTATTTAAAACCAAAAACAAATCCACCAAAAATTGTTAAGTGAAAAAATATAAAGTAAAATAAGATATGAAGCATAAAGTCGACTTGCGGGTTCCTCCCGAGATGGTAATGGTGGGCTAGCAGGACCTTCTCACGTTCACTTATAGTGTAATCCAGGAGCGAAGAGAAGTTGGGACTGCAGGTCAGTATAAAACCATTTATTATGGATTAACAGATAATAAAATATTATAAAATAAAACAAAGGCATAATAGCCTGCGACCGCATAAGGCCCTCCCCATAGGAAAGCACAGCTTCACTGCTTTCCTATAGGGATTTTACTAATGCTGGATGTCCTCATGCAGAGCGTGAGGACATCCAGCGTTAATTAGGGGACCACAAATCAGTTAGCCACCAGGACATACACTGAAGGCAGGGTTAGTGCTGAAATATAATTATAATCACTGCACCCACACCACTTCAATGAGCTGAAATGGTCTGGGTGACTAAAGTGTCCCTTTAAGCCCCACTCCCTAGAGTTGTATAACTCAACTGCTCTCATATCATAATTCTAAATAAAAAAAAAAAAATCTGTTACCTGGTAGTATTTGCTGTTGTCAGAAGAACTGTCACAAGTGAAAAAATCCTGCAAATTGGCCATGTGTCTCCAGGGGAAACATTCTTTATGACATGGAGAAAATCCATTCAAAGCAAAAAAAAAAAAAAAATAGATTTTTGTATGGCCACATGTAATTGGACACTAATAGCACTGTTATTTATCACATTTACCCACTCAGGACGGAGTAAAGATGTTAAGAAAAAATACTATTTCCCCTCCAACATAAGTGTATTATGGCTCTATAGGGTAACATGGAATATAAGTATAATTCATTTTACTGTCTTGTCTGTTTATTGTTGTTTATGAACTGACCCTGTGACCACGGCAAATATTATTTCTCAAATGTGCAATATATAGAATCTACTTGAACTAATCCTCTGGTTTTATTTTGTAAAAATGTTTTAATTCTTTATTTTTGCATGCTGCAAGTAGAAGTCAAATTTACCATATGCATCAGTGTACATTACAGCAGTTTTTATCAGCGATTGTACAGAGCATGTGTCATAACAGCACATTGTTTCATACATTTAACAAGCATGTGTTCCTAGGTGGCAGTGGTATACAATAGTGAGTTTGGGTACGTCTGATGATTTGTGAATACCGTTAATTAGGTCGTGAGGTGGTAGTAGTGGTATGATCCAGTGTGGGTACCAGTGCTCTAGGTCAGATTTATAAGTGTAGATTTTGTCTTATGGGCAGTATAGTACCATTCGTGGGTAATGTGGGGATTATAGTGTCAGTTGGTTAGACGTGAGAGTAGCTTGTTGGTAAACCCTTTCTCGCATTGGAGGTATAGTGTTTTTGTGGGCTGTGTAGGCTACTCTTGGGGGGTAGTAAACCTAACCTAGGGGTTGGTGGAGGGGTGGGGGTGGGAGGAGTTGTGCTCTGTCACAGTACGCCTCCCTTTAACGCATTAGTGTGTCAGTGCCATCTCTAGCAAACTCATAGAGAACCATTTGAACCAGACTGTCAACATAGGAATCATCCACAATAAAATAGAAAAATCGAAATAAGAACCGAAATGACTTTGTATAGCCTTTGAGCAAGTTGAGATAGGAGACTTCTCCTCCCATACCCGTCAGGTGGCCTGTGAGTCTTGCCCTTTATCGCAGTCATAATGTCCTCCTTGTCTTGGGGTAAGATGCAATGGATGATGACATCTCCAGCAAGGGGTGTAGTAGATCTAGTCAACATGTGTAGACAGTATATCTCAGCAAAGGTGAGTTTCCTCGCTATCGCAGAGGGTAGTATTGAGGCAGGTATGCCTCGGATTTTGATGTTGTTGCGTCGGTTCTTATCCTCTTGTGCTGCCAGTTGTATCGATAGATTGTACAGTAGTTGGAGGAACAACTTCACTTCTCCCTCTGTGTTCACTTTCTCTGTGATTTGTTGCATGCTTGTCTTGAGGCAGGTAAGTCTGCAGCCAGGAGACTTTGTATTTCCTGCAGCATATTTTGCATTTGCTGTAGATCCTGCTTGGTGGCGGCATCTGTGGTTCCCTGCTGGGTTGTGGGTTTTGGCTGTGAGGCCCCCTAGGAGGTTTGTTCCAGAGGAATTGCCAGGTGTGGGGAGTCTGCACGGCCGCCATTTTGGTGGGTGTTTGCCGCTGGAACAGTGTGCCAATTTCAGGATGCACTGCTGCTGTACCTGGTTGGGATTTCTGGGATCTGCGCCCCAACCCTGTGGCAGCATGGTCGGAGCTTTGCTGGATCGTGTCTCCCGCGTCTTCCAGGCAGTAAGGTGCTCCTGTTTGCATTTCAGTCCCTTCATTCCTGCTCAGGTATGCATGCACCTCCGTTCTTGCCTTCTAGCGTGAGGTTCCCGGAGTCCTTCTCAATGAAGGCGCCCATGCGGGCATTTGGATGTTCACGTGGGCGCATCAATTCATTTCCTCACAAACGCCAGTAAGGCATATATACCTGTTCGCGCACGCGCATTTGTTTTTCCCCGCGAACGCATGGCGTTTGGTATCTTGACATGTATCCATGTGCGAGTTAGGTTCACGCATGCGCATTCGCTTGGGGTTCCCCTCATGACGTCAGATGCCTATTTAAAGCGACAGGATTCACTTTTCCTCTCAATTAGTTCCTTGGATGGTGCAGATAGTAATTCATACTTAAATACTCACCTCCCTTATGGTTTCTTCGGATCCTTCCTTGAAGGTAAATTTGTTCTTTATAGTATACCTTTCTGTTATTATTCCTCTGTTGGAATTTCAATTTGAGATTCTTTTCAAAACTTCAAATTTTTAGATGGATGAAGTAGATGGATGAATGTTTAAATAAAAGAGCACAGAGCACTTATATGTATATTTATTCAGTTCTAAAAGCTACCAGAACTTCAGGATCATCTAAAGGAAAGTCGCCCAAAAGGACACAATGTGAATCCTGTGACAACAGAGCTCTGGAGGGGAGACATCTCTGCTCTGGCTGTTTATCAGTGGCTGCAGGCCCATCTCAACCCACACCTGACATTATGCAATACATTAAAGCAAGCTGTTGCACAGGGCATCAAAGAGGCTGGGAAAGCTCACAAACGGCCTAGATGTTTGGAACCTTCCGATTATTCTCCAGGTGACTCTGGATAGGAGTTTATGGATACAGCTTACGTTAGAGGTGGATACACTACCAGCTCCAGACTTCCTGGAACCATCGGAAATTGATTATTTGATATCCAGGTTTTGTAAGGCCCTCACATTAAAATAATCTTCTAAGGAGAAACCTTCCAACTCCCGTTGCCATTTCTCTGATCCCAGGAGAAAAAGGGCTACTTTCCCGGTCCATGAGACATAAGTGACCTTATTAAAAAGGAATAGTCCAGATTGGACAGGAGATCCTCTGCAAAAGGGAAATTTGATAGACTATCCATTTGAGGCAAAGGACGCTGAAACATGGGACTTTGCCCCCAATGTTGATGCAGCAGTGGTTAGACTGGCTAAACGAACCACTTTACCAGTAGATCGTGCAGGGTCCTTCAAGGTTCTGATGGGCAGAAAGATGGAGTACAATATTTCCAAATCATACATAGCTTCTGGTACTAGCCTACATCCTGCTGTAGCTCTCACATTGGTGACCAGAGCATTGAAAGTATGGATGGAAGAATTGGAGGATGATATTAAGAATGGCAGAAGCCGGCCCTCCATATTGGATAGCTTGAGAGATATGAAGCTGGCTATTGATTTCTCATCTGAGCCTGCAGTTGATCTAGTCAGGAACCTCTCCAGAAATTTGGCCTTTTCGATCTCCGCCAGGCGAGCACTATGGCTCAGGTCACGGTCGGCTGATGTTTCCTCCAAAAACAGTCTGTTCCTTGCCATTCCATGGGGACATGTTATTCGGCAGAAACCTGGATGGCTGCATCAAAAGAGCCGACACAGAACCAAGGGACCCTTTTGTGCCAGAAGGGAGTACTATTCCTTTCAAGATAGCAGATCTTATAAACCAGGAAGGGAATATGGTAGATTTCGATCGTAGGGACGGGGTCAGTCTAGTACTAGAGGAGGGAGGTCCAGTGGCACTTCCTCTTCCAAAAACATCAGGAATTTATGACGGCATTATCTCCCAGTCAGGAGGAGTTGGAACCTGTTTACTTCAGTTCCAAATGGCATGGGAAGAATCCACAAGTGACATTTGGGTTTTAGATATCATCTGGAGAGGATATTTTCTGGAATTTTACAAAAAAAAACAAACAAACCTTGACATCCTTTCAAGTCACAAAATGGCCAGGAGACAAAGAGAAAAGAATCGCCCTTCAAGACTTCATTTTCTTATTGCAAACAGAAGGAACTCACGGTTTCTACTCGCATCTCTTCCTAATCAGAAAATCCTCAGGAGGGTGGAGACCCATTCTAAACCTACACAAACTGAACCAACACGTACACATCCGCAGATTCAAGATGGAATCTTTGCAATCTATCATAAAAACAGTTTTTCCCAATCAATGGATGATGTCGATAGATCTGTTGGATGCCTATTTCCATATGCCCATTGCTCAGAATCATTAGAAATATCTCAGGTTTGCAGTCGAAGGGGGCCATTTACAATTCAGAGCACTACCCTTCGGACTCAGCACAGCCCGAGGACTTTCACCAAAGTACTGGTGGTTCTCATTACGGAACTAAGAAAACAGGGCATCTCCATCTTCCATTATCTGGATGGCATCCTGATTGTGGGAGACGACAAAGAGATATTATCTCATGCCATCATCAGCTTTCGGTTCTTGCAACATCATGGCTGGAAGATCAATGTCAAGAAGAGCCATCTCTGTCCGACTCAGACTATGCCATATCTGGGAACTCGCTTCAACACGTCGGCAGGAACCGTTCAGCTCTCCTAGGAGATAATTTTGAGACTCAGGAAGCAGATAGTAAAAATATTAGCATCCAGAGTTACCTCGGCAAAGAAAGCGATGAGTCTGCTCGGATCCATGTCTTCCACAATAGGTCTGACCAGCTGGGCGCAGTGGAGAATGAGGTAATTCCAAGCAAATTTCCTACTCCAATTTTCTTCAAAGAACCTACTCCAACCCACCAAGATTACGTTATCAGTATGCAATTCCCTGATTTGGTGGCTAGAGATGAAATGCCTAAGTAAAAGCTTCCCTCTGGGGGAAATCTCGTGGGTAGTGGTGACGACGGATGCCAGCCAATGGGGTTGAGGAGCCCATTGTATTCACAACTTCGCTCAAGAAGAATGGTAATTTTCATCAAGTAACATGCATTCCAATCTGCTGGAACTCTTAGCGGTTTTCAAGGTCCCGAGACACTTTTCTTCACTACTCCATTACCAATAGGTGAAGATAAGGACAGACAATTTAACAGTAGTGTCCTATATCAACCATCAGGGTGTAACCAGGAGCCGCAGGATGATGAAAATTATGCAACGCCTAATGTTATGGGCGCAAAGAAACCTGGCTGGCCTTGCAGCAATTCACCTGCCGGGGAAGCAGAACCAGCTTGAAGATTTCCTCAGCAAGTCCAGGATAGATCCAGGAGAGCGGTGACCATCGGACAATGTGTTCCAAATAATAGTGAAGAAATGGGGCCTTCCTCAAGTAGATCTACTGGCAACTCGGAAAAACAGGAAGGTGGCGGAGTTCTTTATGAAGGACAACAACCCTCTAGCCCTAGGGATAGATGCTCTATCCAGCCCTTGGCAATTCAGAAGAGGGTATGCGTTTCCTCCTTATCCACTGATTTTTCCCATCCTGAGACGAATGAGAATGGAACCGGTGTCTCTCATCTTGATAGCACCCTTTTGGCCTCGCAGACCCTGGTTCCCTCTCCTGCAAAGTCTTTGTGTGGAACCTCCATTGCAGATTCCGAAAGTTCCAGACCTCCTGTATCAAGGTTCTGTTCTCCATCCCGATCCATCCTCCCTCAATCTGATGGCATGGAGATTAAAAGGGAAGGGCTGACAAATAAAGGCTTCTCTCAA